CTTGTGTTGTTAAAGGAAATGCTCTTCAGAAGAACCTGTAAACTGATAGAGCTGGAAACAGTTAAAAAGAGTACTGAAAAAGCCAAGGCCAATAAGAGAGAAGTGGTATGTATTCATCTGGTTATCTACCATTCATTATGGCTACACGCATGTTTATCTGGTAAATTCAGATGAAGTCTTTCTGTGTCTGATACTGTAGATGGAAGCGTTTCAAAAAGCGGTTGAGAAAGAGTTCAGCCTGATCTCATCTGTGGCTAAACAAGAGGTAAAAACTGTGACTGAAGTTAAACCCAAAGAAGGTTGTTTACTAAATGTGTTACCAGAGTTGTTACATTGGAAATTTGAACAACCTTATAACATGACCTCTTGATCTGAACATCAGATTCACATTGTACATTTATAGAGGATGTAGTATAATTATTGGACTAATGTCTGGCAGATTGAGCGTTTCCATAGCTCCCGAGTGAATGTGCTGAAGAACTGCCTGATTGGCTGGTGTGAACAACAGCTGAACACAGCGAAGGAGTTTGCTGAACTCTACTCTCAGCATCTGGAAGCTTGCAGAAACATGTACACAGAATGAATGAAACATAAGCAGGCAGTAGATCATAACAATATAGCTGGTAATGTAATCCAACTTTGAACCTTATTGTGAAATGATAAAAGTGCTCTGTAAATTCTGGTTATTCTCAAATCTTTTAAATTACTAGTCCCCTTTAATTTGTGTGTACTTAATCTTCTCCAGCCTAATTTGAACGCCAAATGTAAGTTCTAGGCTAGGCTACAGATTCAGATGTGAACTTTGTCCTATGTAAGCTTGCAATAAAGCTATTAAACCCATGACTGTTTCTAATGTACACACTGCAAACTGCTGAAGTGATGGCTGCACAGAAAGAAACATAGTTAGTTAGTGTTTGTGGAAGTAACAGTCATCAACATGAGCGTATTATTTGGGTAGACCAGTCTTTTTTTAATAACTTTTAAAAGTCAGTTATGCAAAAATGTATGTTTATCTAATTTGAATTTGAAAAGTATAATTTAATTACACATCCCTTGTCTGACTGCTAGTTGGCCAGCCTTTACATAGTGGCTGTGTTTATGCAACTGGTCCCAGTGTGAATAAAAACAACCAGGAGTCAGAATTGCAGTTAAATGCGACAGAGTCTAATGATGACGAGTTTAATGAAGTCAGAAAAGTGTAAAATACAAAGTCACTGCAAATTATAGTCTTTGCAAAATCAATTATGTCATCTCTATAGATTTGCTGATAGCTTGTCTATTGAAAGGTTCAAGAAAACTTTACAAATATGAAAATTACGTCAAGGTAATAATACAATTATATAATAATAAAGATTATGCAATATTACATGCAAGATTAAGGTAATCATATATAAATATAGGCATAACTATAGGTAAAAGTAAAATACAGCCACACAGCATATCTTAAACTGCTTATACAAGTAGAAAAATAAAATGGAAAGCCAAATAAAATAATAATTTTCAATTATTCTTGATTAAAAATTAAATTATTTAAAAACGATTAAGATTACAAAACACTAAAAATGTCAAAACAGAGAAACCAGCAAAATATTAAGCTATAATTTGCATTTAAAAGTTATTTAATTGGACTTGTCCTCGTCTTTGCTTCCACTGTCCTTTTATGACTACACTGTAAATAAATGTTTTTTTATTTAAATATAACAGATTATTGGAGTATGTTTACAAATACTATTTCAGTTTTTCTACTTCAGAATTGAATGTTTAATTCAATGTGTTTCTTGCTGTATCTTTCTAATTGATTGTGAAATTTACTTGCAATTTCTGAGTGCTGAGTGTTTTTACACCAAATATTTAGAAAGTGTTTTTTTCTGCTTCTTCAAGGGAGGAGCAGGTTTTTCCTTTTGCAAGATTTATTTCAGCCAGTTCACAGCAGGTGATGTTCTTTTGAAGGATTTCTTTAGGGAACTGTAAGACATCATCGAAATGAAATGCTAGGCTAATACGATCCCATACATAACAACGGACAAGCACAGGTTCAGCCTTTGCTGTTCTGTCTTCTGCATTCAATATCTTTAGTCTTTCCAGACGATTTGATTTTCCTCATAATCTTCAAATGAGCTTTTTTCCATCTTTGGGAATTTTTCAAACCTCTCATTGTCCTTTGGGCTGTGAACGATAACAACATACATTATCTCCTGCTTGTAAAACACTGTCTTATATTCCCTGAGAACTGGGTCATGCCCTCCACACATCTGCTACTTGTATGTTTCCATAAGTTCTTTCAGAGGAAACGTGAACCGAAAGTTGCCATAGTGTGATTTGTCAATGTGACATGCAGGTGATGTGGTGAATTTGCTGAGGCATGGCTCCTGTCTTTCTGTTTGTTCTTGGGATCTGTTTGGGAACAATTTCTCCATATGATGCTTCTCAGCTGCTCGTATACTCCCTTCATCAATCTTCAGACTCCACCACGAGAACTTCTCATGATGAGCCTTGAATCCCCTTGACTCCATGATTTTCAGAAGATCATCACTGTTAGTGACATGAGTCACCTCTGAAATGTGAAATTCAGTGGGGGTTGAGTAGTTTGGGATGTTTTTAGTCAAATGATCAAGTAATTTTAGTTCATAGTGTCTTCCCAGTCTTTCGAAGTCACGCTGTATTTGTATCACATTAGTATTGAAGGAAAAAAGAGGAAGAGGTAAATGGTTTTAATCATAATATTACAAAATATTGCATCATCTTTTCTGGAAGGTTTAGTTGTGAACAATATAGTGTTTTGCTTTACATTTAACATCACACATGCAGTTCAAATTGTACCAGAGACTAAACGGTTTCATGACTGGGACAGAAAGAATGATTTGGAACAGTACAAATTTTTTGATACAATTCATAACATTACAATCAGCAAAAGAAAAAGGGGGGAGGTCCCTACCTTGCTTGCAAGACTCAGTTGAGAAATGTAATTTGTAGGTGTGATTCTAGCTATATTTCAAAATGTAAATAACTAGAAATCTTGTGAACACCAATCCCTATTCATTCACATCTAGGTGATAATATAAAATTCAAAGAGACAAGTGAAAACATAAGTCAGTGGACAAAACGTGAACTAGAAGAAGGAAATTTCAACTTGAACACCAGATGAAGATATTAAGTTGGATTGGTTATGACTTAAGTCCTCCCTGCCCTGCTCTTTATTACTCCAAAACTGAAAGGGAGTAACAAGTCAAGGATCTTGCTGGAGGCAATGTGGGACAATATCAGCTGATCATGTACATATTGTTTTGGTCTTGCCAAGTTTTAAAAGTGTTTTTGGAAAGAAACAAAATTTTAGAGATTGAGATAGAGGATACAAGTTTCTATTCCTTGGATGTATATAGGATTTAGTGATTAACAGTATTAAATATTTACTGAGGATTCTACTAATAGCAGTGAAAAAAGCCATCACCCACCTTGTTTATACTGTGATGGTCACATATCTTTTCAAGCAGTTCTCACCTGTCACTGTCACATCTTGATTTTTATCAGTACAGTTGCAAGAACTCTTGCACAATTAATCAGTTAGCCAACATAGAGTCAATGAAACATACAGACACAATATAAAATGAATATTTTAAAAGCTGTATATTGTAATAATTATAGGCTTACCACCATAAGTGTTTGTCTTGTTGCTAGGCTGTTTTGTACATTGCACAATTTTGTCTTAACAGAAAATAAGATAATATACAGGGGAAAAAAATAAAAATAAATGTAAATGATTATAATACTTTCAACTCAAAATTTTATGCATACATTCCTTCATTTAGTGAGTGGCCATGTAATAAGCTGGATAATGTATGATCAGCCAGTTATTGTTTGATAAATAGAGAATTATCAAAATATCAAATATGTGATCTGAAATATATTTGGTGGAAAAAAAATTCAGGTTACATTATGGTGAAGATGGATATACTGGAACATAAATTCATTGAAAGTGAAGTGAATACTGACATTACTGGCGTGAATCACCATGAAAATCAATGTGATAATGGATTTTAAATTGTATAGTTCAAAATGAGTACATGCTAAAGTGAAATATACACTGTGGTTGAACACATACACATACAGTAATCAACTCAATGACTATAACTATTACAGAATTTATGTATTACACTCTTAAAAATAAAGGTGCTTCACGATGCCATAGAGGAACCTTTTTGCCCAAATGGTTCCATAAAGACCCTTTAACATCTGAAGAACCTTTCTGTTTCACAAAGGGTTCTTTGTGGTGAAAGAAGGTTCTTCAGATTATAAAAAGGTAAGAAAGAGATGGTTCTTTAAAGAACCTTTGACTGAATGGTTCTTTGTGGAACCAAAAATGGTTCTTCTATAGCATCGCTTGAAGAACCTTTTGAAGCACCTTTATTTTTAAGAGTGTACACATTCATTTATTATCCAAAAATACCTACATTTTGACCTATTGCCAGCTGCAAAATTCAAAGCATGACCCATTTTCAGATTTTATGCATCATTTAGTAAAGAACTCTAACCTAATGACCATTTGTTGAGAAACACGAAAGAACACATGCACAACTCTTAGCAGGTTAATCTCATTCAGAAAATCTCAAATTTATTAGAGTGAAACAGACATTCTCTTTGAGCACATCCCAGCATTAAGATAACATGTACAATCAAGTAAATGACAACATTTCCGTAAACAAGAAAGCCATGGAGGGGACAATATAGATAATTTAGTAGCTTAATATCAAGCTGGGAAAGTTCCTCATTCCTCAACATTCCAAAGCTGAGTCGACATTCCAAATTAAATATGACATTCTCCTCATCTGAAGGCAGTTTAATAAGGTGAAATTACAACTTACAGACAACTGGTCCTGTAAGAAAAGTACAGCTGTAACCCATTCATATTAACAGCCAGTGTCTTACTATACCTGCTCAACTCATTGTATTAAAATACATTCATATAAAAAAAAACATTTAATTAAAATAATTGTATCACACTCTATATATTAATTCCCTTCAAAATATAAAATCATATTAGTATATATCTACACAAAGTGCAACTGTAAATAAAGTGTTATTTCACTGAGGTTAAAAACAACCATATTTTTACCTCTTTCAGTGCAGAAACTACTGTGGGAGTTTTAAAAGTGTGGGGAGGTAGTCTAGAGGAGATGGCTTATTACTTGGACTCGTGACCAGAAAGGGTCTTCATATGAAAACCTGAACAGTCCAGTTTACCCTCAACCCTTGTGCCTTAAATTTGAATGGTGCATCTAAATGGAAATTTCAACCACTCTGTTCTTACAAGTAGGGGAGGGGTGACATTAAAATGGTGGTAAAAACAATCACGACAGAGTTCATACTTATCCATCAGTGTCCCTGGTGACCTAACCATATAGAAGCCTTTTATTGCTTAATATTAACAAGTTTCAATACAACACATGCAATAAAAATAGACAAGTCCGTCTACTGGAAAAGGACCGATTTGGTTCATGGTTGGTCTAATGTAACTGATGGCTATTTATACTGGCACAAAAATAGTTCAAACTGAGGTTATTATTCTGATTGGCAATTTGGCTTAAACACACGTACTTATCGTGGATCTTTGACAATGAACCAACCACACATATATAGTAATATCTACAGCAAGTATATAGCTAAAATAAGAACATTTAAACAACTGTATTATTCTATAAATGAGAACCAGACAATTAACAAAAAAAAATTAAAAAATAAATACATGTACACTACAGCACAGCACAGATGTCTGCTAAAACTCAACTAAACATTAAAAATAACCTGGATTTGGTAGGAGAAAATGTTGCACATATTCACACACACACTGACACACCAATATATCTCACACAGCTATACATAAACCCACATGTGTGAACGCATGTGTGTGAAAAACAGTGGAAAGGAGTGAACTAATATCTGTGTGTTTTTAGCACATGGCTGCTTTTTTAAGTCAGCTGAATTTCAAACAACCGACGCTAAGAACGTAATTTCTTCTTTCTGTGGGGTTACTTCACGGAACCTCCTGCGAAGAGAGAAAAACACACAGATAATAAATAAGATAAACTCAAAACTTTTTAGCAGTTAAAACCCAGTTTGTAATATAATAATTAAAACTTAAAGGAATAATTCACCCAAAAATTAAAATTTGCTTAAAACTTACTCACCCTCAGGCCATCCAAGATGTAGATGAGTTTGTTTCTTCATTAGAACAGATATGGAGAAATGTAGCATTGCTTCACTTTCTTACCAATGGATCAGTTGTAGTGAATGGGTGCCGTCAGAATGAGAGTCCAAACAGCTGATAAAAACATCACAATAATCTACAAGTAGTCCACACTTCACACAATCCACACAAGTAAACGCCAGTTCTTTAATTAACATCTTGTGAAGCATAAATCTGTGTGTTTGTAATGAACAAATTCACCAGTAAGATGTTTTTAACAGTAAACTGTTGCTCCATGGTAAAATATCCTTTATCCATAATATTGTTTTATCCAGTGAAAAAGTCTCATCTGAATCAGGAGAGAAATCTGCTCAGACAAGCACTACTTACAAGTGAAAATAGTCCAAAACAATCCTAAATAAATATGCCAGTGAATTTTGGTATGAGATGACAACAGGGAATGGACTTTTTTTTTTACTGGAGGAAGCATTATTATGGACTTGCACAAACTGGAGTTGTTTGTATTATTTGTGATGTTTTTATCAGCTGTTTTTATCAGCTGCTAAATTTCTTAAAATCTGTCCTGATGAAGAAACAAACCCATCTATAATCAAGAAAAGTAGTAGACACGTGGGTAAGAAAGGGAATTCAGGGAAGTGGAAAAATAACCAACCATTAAAGGATGGAAAGAGCGAGAGTCCTTGCCTTTTTATTTGTGTTTGAGCGTTGTGTGTCCTTGTGATTGGAATTGAGGGATTTCCATACAGTAGTTTTAGACATTTCATCAGATATGTTAATATCAGAGGGATCAGTCCTGGACAACAGGTGGACACAGTCGAGGAGAGGAGGGGTGAAGGCAGGAGAAGGGGAGAAATGGAAAGGTGAGTGTTAGTAAGTACACATTATCAGATACACAGTGGACACTGTGGTGTCTAAGCTTATTTTGAACACCATTGGACAGGGCTCCAGGGTTTGCATTACATCATAGAGCTTCTGATGTGGAGGTCTGCAGCAGAGTGGTACCTGGGGTCTGGGGTTCGAGGTGAGTGTAGAGGTTTGCTCTCCATGGGGATCTTCACTGTGTTTTTGTCTTCTAATTTCTCAGAGTCATCAACCAGCATCTCCTGTGATTCCTGCTACTCATATAAACACATACATACTCCCTCCTTCATTGTTTATGTATTACATGTGACCAAAAATCAATGCAAGTTTAGGTTGATATATTAAATTCAGTTTACATGCATAAATAGCATGATTTGATGGCAAGATTGGGTTAAGGTTGTTCAGGGTGGAAACTAACATCTTACTACAATGTTTACTGCTACTGAAAAAATTGTATTTGTATGTGAAAATAAACATTTTAAATAGTAGTGCAATACACTGTTGTCACATGACTTCATTTTGTTGAATTTTTAGTTGTTTGTGGCCATCCAGAAAAGGAAATAAAATACATTAAATAAATAATAATAAAATAAAAACATCATCAAATTAAATATAAAAGATTTATAAAACCCATTTTCATTTAAGCATTTTGCCTGATGATTTTTTTCATATTATGTTGCATTGTTAATCCAAGTTGGTGTAAAAATGTATCTCAAAAATGAAGCTTTTTTTCCTCAAGAAGGAAAAAAATATGGCTAAAACTACTTTTGGTTCATTTGTTATGCATGAAATGTAATGTTAGGTTGAGCACACTGCATGGTGGGATACAATACTGAATCATTTTGGCAAATGTAGCACAAGTTTTCTGCCCATATAGCAAAATGTACAAATTAAGCACATTATACATACTGCTGTGTTTGCTGTATGACCTTTTTGCTTAATTAAACTCTGCGTATGGATCACAAACCTCCTCTGCCTTTTTGGAATCATCATCCAGCTTCTTCTTCTTATTCTCAGGCATCAGATCATCAAGGTAGCCAAGCTCCCGTTTGGAAAAACAGAAGTCCAGCAGCTTACGGATTAACACTAATGCCAGCACCTACAGGAGATAAACACTTTTGCTACTAATATACTATTACTATATGATTACAATGGCTCTTAAATCAACCTTCATCACTGTACAGTAGAGCATGGCACTAGCTACACCAAGGTCATGGGTTTTATTCCCAGGGATTGCATGAACTGATAAAATGTACTGTACCCCTTAAACTTTTTGGACAAAGTTTTCTGCCAAATGTATAAATGTAAATCTCACAATTTTTCAGACCCTGTGTTCACAAGCAATGTGCAAAAAAATGGAGGCTGTACCAATAAAATTTGCTTTGATTATCAATGAAAAAACATTCACACATATTTTACTGAAATAATATGCATTTCAAATGAATGTTAGCCTTTGAAAGAAGCCTATTTATTACTCAGTCAGACTGATACTGTAAAATACTAGTCTAGTATAGGTATATTTAAAAAAAAAAAATAGTTTTAACACCCCTAACATAAAGTATGTTCTTTGTTTTAGGTCGTACCATCATAGGGAAGATGATTGCAGCAGGGGAAGTTTTGGTGACCCAGAGCAACACAAGGCAGGTAAGCTGGGTCAGAGTGAACAGGTGAACCTTCCTCAGAGGAACATGACGTAGATAAATAAAGTCTGGTTGGTGCTTCGCTGGCATGCCAAACAACTTCAGACGGTCAAAAAACTGAGAAAGACAGGACAGAGATGTTGATGAATGACTTGACGTGTCGGTATGCACATGTATTGTTAGTATCAGACGAATATCTCTACCTGAATGCCTTTCAGAGATGAAACGCCCATATAAAGAAAAACACCATAGAGAACTGGCATGGGAATGAACTGTGAAACAAAAATCAGTCCATTAAGACATTTTGTTATCTAATGCAGTGACATTTATATATATTTTAAGTGTGCCTAATTTAAAAGGAAGAACACAAAAGAAGATATTTTGAAGAATGTTAGTAACGTTAGTAAGCAAACAGTTTCGGGTCCCATTGACTTCCTTATTATAGGCAAAAAATACTATGAAAGTCAATGGGACCTGAAACTGTTCGGTTACCAACATTCTTCAAAATATCTTCTTTTGTGTTCTGAAGAAGAATGTAAGTCATACAGGTTTGTAATGATATGAGGGGCAGTAAATGATAGAATTTTAATCTCTTTAAGAAGGCCCCTGTACATATTATATGACAACCACAGAATTTTTGTAAGTACCTGTAATGCTCCAGTCATGAACACAGAGCAGCCCATGAGTAGAAAAATGAACAAACCAGTCAGTCTCTGTTCTCTAATACCCAGAAATCGAGGCTGCTCTCCGGGGGCAGCGCTTTCAGACTCTAGCTTCAGGCTGTTGACATGGGTAATTGACAGGACGGTTGCTGCAACAAACCAGGGTAACCCCATTATGGAACATACAGCCAGCATCACTCCAACCATCAGAAGATCCAAATGGTACCCGCCGCCTTTCTGTGTAGAGGAAATAGGGCACACACTTACATATGATCAGCGCACACACACACACATCCTCTGTAAAGGCCAATTTAGAAAATAAACATACTAGCAGTTTGTGTTCCTTGCGGTTTATTATGACGGCGGTGATCTGTTGGTCCATGAAGATGAGGATGGTGCAGAGAAGAGCTGGTATTAAGGCAGCCAGCACAGTCCACCATGGGTTTCGGCCGATAGGGTTAATAAACCAACCACGGTCATCACGCGTGGGCTGTAAAACACAACCAGGAGAAAGTAAAAAAACCGACCAAACCCCTGGAAATGTGAGGCAAATGTTAAAAGCTTCACTATGAATCAGAATTTTATATATACTGTATGTTTTACTTAAATAAAACTGCATTCAAAAGTTTGGTGTCAATAAGATTTTTAAAAGTTTTTAAAAGAAGTCTCTTATGCTTACCAAGGCTGCATTTATTTGATAAAAAATACAGTAAAAATAGTAATATTGTAAAATATTATTGCAATTCAAAACTACTATTCTAATATACAGTATATATTAAAATATAATTTATTCCTGTGATGGCAAAGCTGAATTTTCAGCAGACATTACTCCAGTCCTCAGTGTCACACGATTCTTCAGAGATCATTCTAATGTGCTCATTTGCTGCTCAAGAAACATTTCTTATTATTATCAACAGTTGTGCTGCTTACAATTTTTGTGGAAACTGTAATACATTTTCTATTTAATTTTCTCTAAAAACAGAAAGTTCATAGGAACAGCATTTATCTGAAATACAAAAAGTTTTTAGTGTCACTTTTCATCAATTTAGTGTGCCACTGCTCAGTAAAAGTATTAATAGCTATTGAATAATAGTGTAGATTTTTGATAAATGAATCAAATATTTTTAGTGTACACTTTATTGTGATTCATTATGCTTATGTAAGTTAAGATGTGTGTATTTCCCTACATGAATATAAAATAAGGAATGTTCATGACAATTCATTCTAAATTGAGGCATACTTGTTAACTATGGATTAAATATTATTCCAGCTCAATTGTTCATAGATCACTGTCTGCGCACAACGGGTGTATCCAGATTAGCCTGGGGTATAAACTCAATTCCAAGACTCAGCATTGTCTAATCATCTAATCTGTCACTGCAGGGGTGCCACTCTAGCCTTATAATTTGAGAAAACGTGCCTAGAAACAAGACACGAACTAATTGCACAAATACAGGACTGTTTTGGATTATGAGTGGGCACTAAAAAACTTTGAAGATTGAAGCAGTGGATTCATCACTGTAAGGTAAGCTTAGAAAGAACATGATTCACAAGCAGAGCTGTTAGGAAGAACTGGAAAGTTCAAGGCATTTAGGAGAGTACTGACCTACAAAGATGACTCTTTTTTGAAAGAAATATGATTTGATTGGATTTTGCATGTATTTTGGTTTATTTGTAAAATTGTATATTTTATTATGTTAAGAGTTTGCAGTAATATAACAATATTGCATATATAAAAAATACAAGTAAATACAAGAAAATGTCAGTTCTTACGCTGGATATATATTAGCAAAATAACATTTAATTTAGTTGAATGATTATATAATTGAATGACTTTGGCTTGGAATAATATATCATGAAATGCATTTCAGTTATGAATGAAATTAATATACCTCAAATATAAAATGATCCATGAAATATTATGCACACATTGCTTAGATCCATTAAATATTAATTCTGAAATATTAATAATAATAATTCTGAAATATTAATAATAATAATATCAAATTATTCTTGCAAATACTTCGCCATCAGCACAGAGGCAAAAACACATGTTGATCATAACACAAAGGTCAACATGTTGGAAATTATATGAAAAATCCTTCTACTTAGAAATATAATTTACTACAAGGGATACCACTATTTTCTTTTTCTTTTATTTATTGTTTTGATCAATGTGTATTGATCACATTCAAGATTTAAGATTTTAGAAAGCAATTTATCAAATATGATGCATACAGAGTTAAAAACACAAACACAAGTGTGTGCGTTTGTATGCACATTCGTTTATGATCCCTACCTTGAAGTTGCTGGGCACTTGTAATTTTTGGGATGGAACTCCAATTAAATAATCCATCAGGACCATGAGAACAATGGTGAGGAACACAGCAAAATCACTGATCATTGACCTTACCTACATGACAGAAACACACAAATACACACTTTGCATTTATTGTATAGAAAATGACACTGTGTGTGCAAACTGTGTTTGTGAATGTGTATTTTAGCCTCACCCGTGTTGGGAAGTATCTGCTAGTCTTGAACTGTTTCAGGAAGGTAGACAGGAAAAAGGTACTAAAAAACAAGATGGATGACCAGAAGAGCACATCAGGAGTGTAGGGACCATGGTGTCCACACGCCGATCCAATAAACTGCCCCTGGAGATCTAAACACTCCTATTCACAACACACACACACACACACACACACACACACAGAGTTTGGCTCATGTTTAACTGCACTGGCTACCGAGACGCTGACTCAGCTGTGAAAATAGGATTAGCACTAAATGCGATCTGTGTGAGACTACACTGTGAAAAACACAGCACTGCAGTAATGGGACCAGAATTGAAAAACAGGACTTCAACTGTACAGTGTTTGTCATAAGATGTTCTTTTCACTGCTTTACACCAGTCTTTTCACAAACTGGTGTTTATGAAGATGTGAAGTTGTTGAGAAGTTAAAACTGAGATAAATCACATTTAGAGGAGTATTTTCCCAGTAAGACTTACACTGAAAGAAATTAATACTATTTTTGATATATAAAGGGTATATTCAAAATCATCTACACTCACATGAGATTAAGACTGTAGTCATATCAGTGGGGTGTTTTATCACACTGACCAGAATGTTGAAATCACATGACTTAATTTATCTTGGCTACATCTCCACTTTCGGAATAAATTAATAATAGGTAACAAATGTGCCCATGAACAGGGTATTTCCACAATGGCATCAGTAACCAAAAAACTTTTGCTTTTGTGGGGTGATACATCCACACCAGTAGGTGTCAGTATACAGTTTATGACCACTGTTGTATCAGCCAGCTAAACAAAGAATTGCTTTAAAGGCACAATATGTAAGATTTTTTTATTAAAATATCCAAAAACCACTAGAACAGTGTTATATATTTTGCTGACTTGTGTACTTACATTATCCCAAATGTTTCGAAGAATGTTTAAATCCAGAGAAATAAGCTATTTTAACTAGTGACACGGACCGTGTCCATAGTGTCATTTTGTCGCCTGCCAATGACGTCATAACCCCTCGATTTCCGGTTTTGTTTTGTAGAAAACATGTAAAAACCAAAGACGCTTTAATATGTTGTGCGTTTTATTAGACAGGTGCCGACCGCACAAAGTAGCATAATAACAGAACTTTCAAATGTATCTAGTATGATAAAACAGCGCTGCTTTCCCCCCACCCACATACGCACGACCGGAAGGAGCGGAAGCTGTGGTCGACTGTGGCATAATAAAAGCTCTGCTGCTTTCGAGCTGTGTGTCGCGCTCGTTCAGCGGCCTCGTTTCGCTTCGACGGCTTTCAGTCTCACCCTGCTTCATTCTACTACATTAATAAATCATTAGCTCATCCATGAACATGATTTCTGCCCGAGTCCCATCGGATTGCATCGGCTGTGGGGATGAAGACTACAACTCCCATGATTCCACACTCAGTCGCTGGCGTCATTTGTTTGTCACCTTTGTCTATTTGTTTATTTTGAATACGTGCCCTCTAGCAGCGAAAATTACATATTGTGCCTTTAAGTGCACATTTAAGGTTAGACCATGTAAGAATGTTTCCGTTTCCAGTGGTTTTCTAAGATTGTGGGAGGATGTGGGAGGCTGAAGTACCAATACAGTGAAGTTGCTCCATGGCACTGCAGAGGCTGTGATGTTCCTCTGATTCCACAGTTCTAGTGTTTTATTACTGGGGTTATCAGGCTCTGCACACCAACAGCTGATGGCACACAATACAATGTGTTAAAATTTGTTTTTCGGAAAACAATTATTCAGAAAAGGCCTTTGCTCGTCATTTGATCTAATTTATGTCTAGGAGAAACAACTGATGAAGATTATTGTTTACTGACTTCCAACTTAATCAGCAGGTGCATAGGCATCTGTGTATGTGAGTTTATACTTACTAGGCCAGTGTCAGTTTGTCTAGATCGGCATGTCTGTTGATTGGGTACAGTTCTCCAAGATGGAAAAGTTTCTCTAGTGCTTCGTAAATGAAGATAAGACATATCAGTGCAGCAAACGCTTCCTCTGTGAAACGTGTAATGTAACAGACCAAGGAGCTGGCATCCGTTGCCACAAGAATCAGACACAGGAAAGCAGTCCACAGACCAATACAAGTGCGCAGGGATAGGTACGAGAGATCGTAGTCTCTAAAGGGACAGAAATGGACAGGAGAGAGACAATATAGTGAGTTAAGATCTGATTATATATGAAATATTTTGCAGATTTATTGCACAATATAAGAAGTAAGGCTAAATCAGTAAATGAATACTAAATTGATACAGACGATATATATTAAATATATATTCTACATTCCATGAAAATAACTGTATTTATTTGAATGAGAATGCTAGATTTATTTGCTAGATTTTTAAAAATATTTTAATAAATAATAATCATAATAATACTTGGTATACAATTAAAGAATTGTTATGTATCAAATGTATCATATACATAACCAATGACAATTTATTTTGGGTGAGAAAGTGAATAATTAGTTAATGATTAAATATATTAAGATTAATACTTGGTCTGGTCTGTACTGACTTGCAGAACTTGAAGAGAATCTTTTCAAACACGAGGACAGGTCCAGTGCTGCCAAGTATAGTAAGTGGCTGTCCAGCGAACAGAGAGTATGCTACTCCAGTCATAGATGCTCCTAAAAGAGACTCAATGGCACTCTGACACACACATAAATACACATGACTGCTGTGTTTTGCATTACAAACATATTTTTATGTGACTTTGCCTAATAGACCACACAGAAACAAAACTGTGTGTGTTTGCGTACTTACAATGCGTCCTTCTGTAGCCTCTCCCAGAAGTCCTCCAAACGTGATAACAGGTGACATACAGGCACAGTACAGAAACAGAAAAGAAGCTACACACTGCAAATTCAGACCGTCTTTAAAATCACTCAAATAAAATGGAACTTTTCTTTTCACATCCAGAATCAGTCCTCCAAACAGCCTATAGAGAGAGTGAAGAGACATAGAGAGAGCTAAATTTCCATTGATTTCAAATGTTTTCATACTGAGCTAATAACATTTCTATCCCCTAAACCTCTAACCTGTCAAATTGAAGACATTATTCAGTATGTTTACTAGGCTATTTTCCTCATGAGGACTGTTTTTGGCTCCTCGCAAAGAAGATGATTTCAGGTTTTAATATCCTATTGAGGATATTTGGCCTTGCACAATGTTGTTAAAACTTGACCACACACCTTCCTGTTCTTTGTAGCTCTGGTCCATGGTGTTCTCCATGCTGCTCTTCCTCAACAGGAACAGCTGTTCCATTCGGCACTCCTGGCATCTTTCTTTTCTCCTACTCCGAGACAGGAATAGATAAATTACAACAAATCAATCACTTCAGTCACACTTGTTGGTTTTTCCCATACCTGTGATGGGACACTTTTAGGAGGTTCTATGCGTATAGAAGGGTCCCATTCTCCTGGAGGCAAAACTGTCACTTGATCCAGAAACTCATCTATACCGGCCAACAAATCACTTCTGTCCTTGGCCTTATATGCAACATCGTGGAAAATCTAAATAATGGAAGAATAAAATGATATTAAATAAAATAAAGAAATTAAAATATATTAAAGAAAGAAATTTGCTTGAAAATTTTTTTTTTGTTTAATTTATTCTACAAAAGGTATTTCTGAAAATAGAAAGAGCTGAAAATGTAAATATAAAGGTTAATGCATTAATATCCATTGAGATAATAATATGCATTGACCTCATCGGTCATGATGGTGGCCATGGAGCGACCGATCTCATGGTACTGTTGGGCTTTTCCATCAGGACCAAGCAAAATGAACAAGAATCTGCAGAGTAAAAATAGATTTTGATCATTCTGTTACAGTGAATTTATCAGCTCCATATATGGATTGACAAACAAACACTTACCTAGTGGGAATGGGAACTTCAGTGAGCCCCGTGAGCAGTACAGCAGGAGACAGGCGAACAAATGCAACGATGGACCTTTCTAAAAAGTCCAGCTCCCCAACCAGCACATTGGAAGCTTCTGCTCCAGTGGGGATCTTCTTCATGAAATGTGTGTCCACCTAGAGAGAGAGAAGATCATAGCAGTGCTATTTATGTATTATTTATATACTATTATAGTATTTATTAATATTTTGAATTAGCTTTTTCCGTTTTTATTTTAATTTTTAAGTTTTAGTAATTTTGTTATGTGCCTTAGTCACATTATTTTATTACTTTTTTTTTTTTTTTTTACATTTTTAATTAGCTTTAGTTTATTATTGTTTCAGTTTTGGTTTTATTAATTTAATACTTCTAAACTTAAACATATTTCAGTTAGTTGCCAATATTTCTCATTTTCATTTACATTTTGTACATTTTACAAGTTTCTCATCTAATATTTATATTTTATTTTATTTCAACTTTATTTTAATTATAATATTTATATAAATAAATCATCTAGAAATCTACTTGTGGTTATTCCAGTCACTAACTCCAGCTGTTCATTTAGATCAGGGTGAATAGATAAGAGGAACAGCAGGTACAGTGGGTACGGAAAGTATTCAGACCCCCTTAAATTTTTCACTCTTTGTTATATTGCCTGTCCACCAACGTTTACCATCCAACCTGACAGAACTGGAGAGGATCTGCAAGGAGGAATGGCAGAGGATCCCCAAATCCAGGTGTGAAAAACTTGTTGCATCTTTCCCAAAAAGACTCTTGACTGTATTAGATCAAAAGGGTGCTTCTACTAAATACTGAGCAAAGGGTCTGAATACTTAGGACCATGTGATATTTCAGTTTTTCTTTTTTAATAAATCTGCAAAAATGTCAACGATTCTGTGTTTTTATGTCAATATGGGGTGCTGTGTGTACATTAATGAGGAAAAAAAATTAACTTAAATGATTTTAGCAAATGGCTGCAATATAACAAAGAGTGAAAAATTTAAGGGGGTCTGAATACTTTCCGTACCCACTGTATGTAATCTGATTGGGGCCATCCTTACTGTCACTCTAAATGGCTGACATCTACCTCATTACAGTGAATTTCCTGTTTCCTGATCATTAGCATAATATTAAACAAACAAGCTGCAGTACCTCTAAAGATCACCAGATGACAGTGCTTGTTTGTCTGTGTGAGTGCTTTTGTCCCAGATGTTCTTGGTAATGATACATTGCCTGCCTCCAGTGAGCAGTCAAGAAATTAATTAGAAATAAACTGATTGAACCTGTTTGGTTTAATGGGTTATCTTGCTCAGTACTATCTTTCCTCTATTGTATTACACTATTACCTTTTTTTTAAATCCATTTTTCTATATCTGTTTTCTCTGAAAACTGGATGTAGGAGAGATTTTTGCATAATTTTTTGATTGTGTACAATAACTTTGTGCCTACATTTTTTATTTTTTGCTTTAATTTATTTTGAAGCCAGAATGTTACATACAGTATACATCACAAACATTAGTGATATTGTGTCAATTTTAGAGTAAAATAAATGTTTGTTTAATTTCAACAAACTTGTGATGTTCTTCTTGATGTTGTGGTTCTAGTACCTTGGTGAGATCCATCTGGCTATTATCCGGTGCTCCATTCTTTATATCTGGGTTTGTAGGTGGAGGCTGGGGAGAAGTAGCAGGACCTGAGAGATACAATTAAATATGATAAATATCTAAACATCCTACAATATCCACATCATACACAGTATAGTACCAAAATAAAGGTGTATGTATATGTATATTACTAATGTACTAATATATTTTATTAGAATTAAGTAAATTATTTGAAAGTATAACCATACAACTTAAATATTAGGTATTAGTATGAGACTAATATGGTAGAATCACTTATCAGCCAAGTTATATCCACTCCATCTGCAACCATGAGTATGCAAACCCAGTAAACCAGTTAATTTTCATATTATACCCACAAGGATACCACTCAGGATGTGATGTAATCTGTAAAACCCTTTATGGAGCATAACACTCCAGCCAAAGAAATTATGTCAATAATACATGACCAGAAGTAGTCCAACTTCAAAAGAATGATTTAGACAACTTTACTGACTGAATTAGGAAATTCTGTTTACAGAATAATTCAGAAAAAAGAGATTTGCATTTCTCCTTTGATATCTATCGGAACAATCGCCCCATAGATTTACATTGTCAATGTATTACTGTAAACACAACATTATTTAGTTATATCCACAGGGCTTAAGTTGTATTCCAATAATACTTCTTTATGATGCACATTTCTGTCAGGACCACTATCGTCAAAGATGATTGACAATTAGCATACAGTTTGGATTGGCGGTATGGTTCCGTTCTGGGCAAGAACTCCCTGCGCATCCATGCAGCCTAGCATGGATGAGAGCAGGGAGAGCAGCGATAACCCCCCAGGGTAAACAGAACAGAACCAACATAAATGTACTGCAGATATCGTTAAAGTTCAATAATGTTATGTACACATTTTAGAATTAGTCTGATTCAAAGGAGAATCAGAAGGCTGAATCCTGACTGACAGAAGAGGAGTTGGGGATGGAGGAGGGTAATTAGCTATTGAGCAATGCGAAAACTGCTGATACTACTGTGGGACCTTATATATGAATACTTAGGTGTCGTATTCCCATAGGTTGATGGGGATCAGCTGAGAGTCAGCTGATGCGAGCTTGACTAACGTGACCTGCCAGAACTAACGCTACGCTTGATGTAAAATGCAGTGCAGTTTAGCTCACCCGCCTTGTCCATATGATGAGGTTCACTCTGTCTCCTGCCTGAGTCAGTGAGGGATTTGACCATTGGCAGCAGGTTGTTCCTCTTCTTGTCACTCTGGTGGTGATGCCTCTTCAGAAGTGCCTCTCGAACCTTCATTCTCACACTGTCATCCAGTTCATGAGCTGCCTCCTGATGGTCAAGCACCAAATCTACACACAACAAATTATATATATACACACATGTGAATACAAACCAAATACAATCAACTTTTGAAAGACAATCATGTATAATTTAAAGGGACAATGTCCTTTTTGTTGTTTTTTTTATTTGCATGATTAAACTGTATGATGATGATGGTCAACTTCATATTTAGGACTGAATATGTTATATTCCAGCATGCTAAACAATGCAATACTTTCTCAGCGTCTAACTTTCTCTTTTTCTTTAAAACCTCCCACAGTTCCAGTCGGAGCTGATGCAGCACTGTTAATCTGCATCACTCACTCTTTCCCTCCCTTCCAACCTTTACAGCATAATCTCCCTTGGTCTCCCTGTCCTTCTATTTCTCCAGAAATTAATCATGTTCTTACCACTGCTGCAACACTGATCATAACAGTTATGCCTCGACAAGACACAGGCTACATTGTGAGTCTATTAGACTGTGGCAATGGCTGATAGCTGATAGTCATTGATCAATACATTTCAAATTAAACAATGTATTTGAGTTGTTAAGCACAAATGGCATGAATTATGTATAAAAACTTGCAGGGTTGTAACCAGCATAGATGTAGGGTGACCATATGTCCTCTTTTTCCCTGACCTGGCCGGGATTTTTAAATTGTTTTGGCTTTGTTTTCCTATTGAGGTGCTCTCTACAGTCCTCATAAGTAATATATGAGTATTTGTTTTATACATGCGTAATTGTGCCACTAGTGGCCACCAAACAGAATTGCAATAATTACTATAGTTTCCAAACAGGTAGCCCTCGGCCAAACTCATGCTACTGGACATTTTGAGCCACTCAAATATACACAATTTTGAAAGAACAGCCACAACTCTTTGAAAAGTCAACCTACAAATGGCGTTCTTATAGTTGTCTCTTCACATTAAAGGAGATTTTAACACTGAAAAAATGACACGCTTCACCGTTAAGTGCATTTTTAATCTAAACGTTTCCTTCCTACTCTTTAAGGTGACATGTGCTGCTGGCAGCTGTGCCACTTGTTTCTCAAACTAAGTATTCATGGGTGTTTGGTATTAGTTTTTGCATGTGTCTATCACCAACATGAGTGGGAGGAGTGGGAGATTACAGTATGTTTGAGGTTACAGGTGGGCCTAATAAACTAAAGGATCTGAACACACACTTGCCACACTGCTGTACTATTCCCCACTAAAGACATGTACATTTTTTAATGTTAAAATTTGTCCTTTCACAGATAAACATGTAGAGTGCCATACACATTGAGTTCTGACTGACCTGCAATTTCCTCAATGCAGCTGGCCTTCATGTCCAAAAGGACAGTTCCATTAATGATACAGCTCCGTAGCTCAAACAGACTATGGAGAGACAGTGTAGCTACGTACGGCTTACTCCACCTTTCCCCTCCATCTTCCACGTCCTCCTCAAACTTCAACCACCTGAGAAGTATTAAAGAACAATGAGAGTCAAATAGACAGACACTCACTTCAACTCTCAAAAGGCAACAGAGGGTTGTTTGATAACCAAGAAGTTTTAAACTGGGATCTGGGGGCCGCAAGGGAGTACTAGTGGGTCTGTGGAAAAGTTTAGAGAAAAACAGTGTAAAAAATGTAAAAATAAAGTAAATAAAATAGAAATAAATAATAACAAGTACGATTAACTAAATAAATACAAATAGATTTCCTTTTATTTATAACAAATGTTAAAATAAATATTTTTAAATAAATAACTAAATGATAATACATATAACAGAACAGTACTATAGTGAGTAGGAAAAACATAGTAATGTAACATAACAAATATTTGACTAAATATTTTCCCAAAAATATTGTACACATTAAACATTTTTACAGAATAAATTGGGTCATTGCAAGAAAAAACATCTGTGTTTTGCACAAGAATGATCATATTTGGCAGTCCGTGGCATCTAAAAGATTCAAAACCCGAGTTACATTTTGGCACTGAACATAATGTTGCAGGACATATGAATACCTAGCAGTTTCCTTCCACTCTGCGTCTTTGCCATCTTTAACACAGATTTCATCAAGTTCTGTGAAGAGGTCATGTGCTGCATGCTCCTCATCCTCTTCAGTGCCCAGAATAAACTGAACCCTCTGAGATGGAGTATCTGAGAAAGAGATATGAAGAATGAGAGACACAGAGAATATGATATTTGAAAAATTAATTTTCACAGTGAGGGAGGAAGTAGAAGAAGGAAGCACAGTAAACAAAAGTCTCATCCGAGCAATTTTCAGTGTTTGTTATCATAAATCTGAGTTTATGTTTTTATGTTTTGTGGGCTCAAGGGCACCAGGTCCAAAGAGTACTTTTTTTTTGCAGGAATGTATCGCCCATGAATAACATTCAGGCCCAAACAACATACAAAGTAGGCCTATTTCATTTGCATGTATGTATGTATGTATTTACTTATTTATAACCTTTGAGAGATTGTTTTGGAGGAAAGAATATGCAACCATATATTATACATATATGTATATGTAAGAGTAACGTCCAATATCATTGTATAGTACTTTTCACCTTTTGTATCGCTGTGCTTGTTTGTATTTGCACATTCCAGATAGTCTTTAAGTAATGTTAGTAAAGTAGTCATTTTACATTTGATACCAAAGCTCAGAAGCCTGTGTCAAAAAAAACAAAAACAAAAAACAGACACATTTCACAGTGAAGCACTACATGGGAGCTTGATTCTTTTTTTTTTGCCAAAACAGACATGATCTATGATGTTCAAATCTTTGTTCGCCTGAGAACCATATGACTGCTTCAGTATTTGGATCAAAAGGAGCAAACATTAGTGCAGTTTTCCTTACTCTAATACATTTTTAACAATAAATACCCTAATTTATTTATGAATCCCAATGTTCATTTGGCTATGAGAAGCCACAGCTGGGGCATGGTTAAAATAAACAGATTGTAGATTTTATTTATTTATTATAATTATTTTAGCGCCAATACACAGAAATGAATGAATCACTTCAACTCTCACTTTTATTTCTTAAAAATACATTTTAATATTATTTTGACCACAAAGATGGCCTAGGCCCTACACCCTGTTGAAAAGCTTTGAGTGTCTCTCTCTGCAGGTTAAGCCAGTAGGTGGCGACAAATTAATGTCTTTTTCATTCAAAAACAGTGAATCATTCAGGAAAATAACGATATGAATGAGTCATTAAATTCACAAAACCGAATAGTTCAAAACACCAATTCATCCAATAGCGTGTGGGCGTGCTTGGAGACGCCCAACGGTACATTTCCGTCAGGGGAGCAGTAATAGATAAAATAACTGTGAATATTGTGTCTAAACTGTAAGTTACTCATTTTTTTACTACCTTATTTCTCACTTAATTGTTTTATAATAGCAATATGACATGATTACAGCTGTTGCGTTATATATGCAATGTACTTATTTGAATGTGGCGCTTTCGCGAGGGTTAATTTTGAATCCTAACGTTAGATATAATTTTCCAGATTCAACTTCCAGTGAATGAACTTACAAGCGTTGCTCGACTTGTTACTGTTGTTGTCGTTCTCACCGTGTGATGTTGCGGTACTTTCTGTGTTCATGTCTTCTTGAGCTACAGTTCCAGCCCGCGTCCTCTCAGCTCTCCTGCGGTGTTTGGAACTGTGTGGCCGGTGATGACGATGAGACTGTCTGCCCATGGGCATCCGCACACCCACAAACAGAGTCCTGTGACCTGAGAGAAAAGATAGATGGTGAGATTCACTGTGATTTTCCAGTTAATATGACTGTATTGACCTGTTGGCTGTATCACATGAATGGCTGAGTATGTGTTGTGGATGCATACTAACCCTCTAGCTCTTCTTTCTCATAATGGATATTCAGAACTGAGCTGGTGCCACCATGGTCCACCACAGCTTCCTCATCAGGCCTCTGTAAGACACGTTTTACTTGTTTTAATGAGAGTGTAAATAAGTACATACAGTACCATAGTCTTACTAACTCTAAACAATTTTTTCCCCATCAAAACAGTGTTGTTTATTAATTTTTTTCTATTTGGGGATGTCACACAACTAATGACATATTTTTTTATCCCCTCAACCTAATACTCAAAAAAGTGTTTAATTTTCACATATTATTTAAGATATTATTTACTATGTGTTCGCCTGTTTCATGGTAATTTTACTATGAGGTTTCACTATATTTGTGGGGACATTTGGTCCCCAATAGTAAACACATCTCAACATACACACAATGAATTCAGACTTGAGTTCAACTTCATTTCAAATGAAGGTGCTGTCTCAGATGATGAATGTGTGTTAGGGAAAGACAGACTAATGAAAGACAGACTTATGAGTTATTATAAGGCCTGGGCATGAATAAGCTGACATTTACTGTTGTTCTAAGCAGCGGATGCTTTCTTATCAAGCTTTAAAGGGTAAAATCATAATTTTTAGCACTTAAGGAAATAAATACAGTGCATAAATATAATATTTGTTAAGATTTTTTTTTTGCATAGTCATAATTTGTTGGTTTACACCTCCATTTTTCACTCTCTGACCCTGTTAATTAAGGTGCTGTTTAAAACACATAGGTTTTTGCTGCTTAGCTTAATTTCTGAAAGTTACTACCTTTTCACAGCGTGTCATAGGACTCATAATAAAAAAAATTGTAATCAAAAGATTAAGAAAAATTAGTTTTTTTTTCATCATTTGACCTATCTGCTTAATCTCTAATTGCGGTAAGTCAAAAGAATCACCTAAAAATATTACCAAATTAAAACAATATACTTTGCATATTTTTCATCAAATATAAAAAGTACACTAGTTAGTATTGACATTTTTCTTTAGACCATACATATTTTATTTAGCACATGAACTGCTTGACCCTGCAAACCTGTTAGACACAATATAGTACATATTGCATGATCCTGGGCAGTTTAGTTATGAATGTATGCAAAATAGATGCACAGTGGCACATAATCCATTAAATACGTTAAATCAAAGTTGCATGAATAAGATCTTACCTGACTTTGTGGTTGCCTGTGAATAAAGGTACTGTAACCCCCTACCCCAAACAGTTAGAGATCACTGATATTTATTAGGCTTCCTTCACTTCCTTCTTTACATGTGTGTGTGTGTGTGTGTGTGTGATATCCCACTGGGATGCTGCTTCTTTCCATGAAAAAGATGATTCATCAATGTGTTTGCACAGCTTTATTCTGCAGGAACACAAGCCTAAATCCTGTTGGAACATTTTCTGCATAAAAAAATACAGCCAAACGGAAGGCACAAATATTCTCACAGACTTTAAAGTACAGTACAATAACAATAGATTCAAGAAAATCTTTCTCAAATCAACCCATTGGTTTTAAAATGATCTATATTCACTGTTGTGCAAATGATGCTCTGTTGTGTTTTTTGCTTGAGGCTTATGTGTATATTTGATCGATGAGGTATTGATTGACAGTCATAGTGTGGATCAGCATTGAGGTCATGCATTACATTGTGTGTTACAACAAAAGCACCAGTAGCTTTCCACTATGACAGCATCCGCCTTGTTTCCAACATCCCACTTACATATAATTATGGTTAAGGCAACTTATCAAGGTCCACCAGAACTACAGTTATTACAGGCTTAAGAACAATTGCTTAAAATGATGCCAAGTTTCATAGCTTCTCTAATCGTTAGACCACCGACTGTGATTTCATTGTTACTTTAGCTTGCATTTCCAGGTAATAAATGTTACATGGCTGCAATGCAAAATCACTATAATTATACCTCACTTTTGAATGATTACTGTTTTGTTTTGAGGTTTTCAATGAAATGGATCCATGTTATACAGTCATACCCTCTGCTTTCCCTTTGAAGAATGAGTGCATGCATGAATACAAGAAAAACGGTATTTTGCAAAGGGGGACCCATTAGTTAAAAAGCCCTTAAGTACTGTTACTCATTTAATAAGAATATTTGTTCCCAGATGTATTGCACTGCATGACAATAGGATGGGATGGTAGGACTTGCCAGAGTACAGACGTCATTGTATAGATTGGTTAGAAGGGTTCGACTATTTTAAACCTGTCATACTGTTTAAAAAAAAAAAGTAATGTTTTTGGTAGGACTCTTAAAGCATGACACATGCATGCAACTGCTAGTCATTTGTCTTAATGTTTACAACTGTAGCGTTAGTGCTTTAAAGGGTATTATTTAAAAAAAATAGTAGAAATATATTTGAAGTTGACTAGATAAACTATCAACCTCACTAATCGAATTGTTGGTTTTTGAACAATTACTTACTAATTACTTGCTTGTTTTATTTAGTAATTTATGTAATCATTACTTAAGTGACAGTTTTAAACACAAGACAACCATACAATCTATCTAGTTATTGTCATTAAAACACTTACCCAGGGGGAAGGAGAAAATAGTCATAGAGCTAATCAGGTGAACAAGTTGATTAATTTTTCATTATCGGCTCTATGCTGCTGTTGTCCTACTCCTCTCAATCTCCTTGTCTTTCTCCCTTTATTGGTCTGACATGAGCACATACCTTTAATTAAAATAATAACAAAACACTTGAGCTGACTAGACTGCTCCTGTGTCACCTAGGTACTCGTTTGTGTGTACAGTATCTGTGTGTGTCACTCACAAAGATTTTCCACTCACAAAAAATGGCTTCTTCTTACCTCTCCTTATCCCCAGGCAACATTTCCGCAGTCCCTGATCAAAAACGCATACACACAAGACAAGTCTATATTGTATGCAAACCTTAACTGCGATTTTATTTTTCTTAATTGTTACTTTTTCTATATTGCAGTTATGAGCTGCAAGATGGAAAAGTCAGAAATAAATTTCTCATAATTATGACTTTATTTCTCAGAATTTTGACTTTATAGCCCACAGTGTGCCTTGATATCAAATACAACTTTATTTCTCACAATTGCAAATTTACGCTACCAAAAGTTTGGGGTCAGTATAATGTTTTTAAAGAAGCTAATACTTTTATTCAGCAAGGATGCACAGTATGACAGTACTGTGCATAATGACAGTAAAGACATTTATAATATTACAATTAACAAAAAATTATAATTTTCCACAAAAACATGGTTCAAAATAATTTAATATTAATTAAATTAATTTAATAGTATTAATTAATTTAATAGTAAACAGTTATTTTATTGTATTAATATTTAACTACTGTTGCACAGTATTTTTGATTAAATAAATGCATTCTTGTTGAGAATAAGAGATTTCTTTCAAATACAGTACATTAAAATTCTTTCTGGCCCCAAACTATAGTAGTGTATATCTTTATTTCTCACAATGTAACTGTAAGGCCCACTTTATTTCTTATTTCTTATTGTATCTCACAATTACCAATGTTTTATTTTTTGCTCTGAGCAAGAAATTGTCAAATTAATAAATAAATTAGATGGTTTAGATGGAGATCACTACCAGTGTGTGCTTTGCACACTCAGTGTCAGTTTGGCTGCCAGTACATCAGTATTGCCCTTTTGCCTTCAAAGGTCACATAGGCAATTTTCTTGCCCTTCCTCCTCTTTCTTGCTTGCTCTCTAGCACATTTCTGTGACAGTTCTGTTAGTAATCTTGACACAGAGCACTACCTCTGCCACTTCCAGATGATCCAGTCTGCCTGAACAGATACAGTGACACATGCACACACACACACACACACACAGGCATGCACAAACCATAAAATCATTTGAACTCTGAAGTGAATGCTTTTATGTTGTTATTCATAGAGTGTATGTTATCGATTACTGTTCATTTTTCAATAAACCACTAAAAGCATCATTTTGGGAGAGATGGTCAACCCACTGCAGTATTCAGACTTGGAATAAAGAATTGTGGTTAGAGAAAGAGTTGAAGTACTACCTGTTACTCTTGGCAGAATGACTCATTCACTATTCATTGCCACCTCACCCGTTCTATCACAATGGCATCATAGCCTTCATGAGGTGCATATTTAAAATAAAAAATAAGGATCGGTTTGCATAGTACCTTAAGTGCATTTGTATTAACGTGTGTGACAACTTTTTTACTTTCAAAACGCACAATGTTTTCTTTAAAAAAAAAAAGCAAATAACAAAGACATTTTTGGTTCCCTGTTTTTGTTGTGTATGCTTGTGTTTGTATGCTTTAGTGTGGGTGTGTGAGTACTTGTTCATGCAGCAGTAATAAAAAATACCATGGTATTACCATGTTTTTGGACATGATACCATGTTAATTGTTAATAATATATTTTGGCATGTCAAAGGTAATACCATGGTATTCTTTTAAGTTTTGAAAAAGCCTTTGAAAAAACAGATTGGAGATTAGAGTGTGATACCATCACTATCATAGAGTTTCAGCAATATGTTTTTGTAATGGCGTCATTATTTTTTTTTTGGCACATTACATTTGTATTCATTAGTCTTGTAAATATTTCCATTATACTGCTATAAGTTTGAATCTTACAATTTATAGTTTATACATAACCATATTAAAGATGCTATAATTCTTATTATTATACTTTATATTATTATATATTCTATATACTGCAATTACAGAAGGTGAAACTATTATCATGCATTTGTGTTATAAATTAATAATATTAACCCTACACAAAGACTGTCTTTTATTGGCTAACTATTTTGAATGGATGTGTGCAGAGTACCTTATGTAACTATTCATGCTCTCTGAAACCTGTTTCAAAATGACAGTCAGAAAAAAGTGAAAGGCATGAAAAGAGCACAGCATCAGACAGATAGTGATAACAAAATGAAGAACATTATGACTCCCTAAGCCAGAACACTGTTGATGTTTTTCTTACATGCAATTAATATAAAGGCCCTGAATAGAATGAGATATGAAAATATATTTCAAACCATTTTCCACAGATGTACAATAAAATGTATATTATCTTTGCAAAATGGGCAATGTTTATTGAATATGAACATGATCTTTTTAGTAATTTAGCTTATCAGTGCTCAACACAAAAAATGTTTTAAAACTCTTATAAATATAAATAAATGATAAATATTTGATCAGAATGATCTTGTAAATGTATTAAATGAAACCTCTCAGGATCATCCTAGATAGAGAGAGATAGTATTTGACTACAAAACAACCAAGGTATGAAATTAAATCTGGGTTAAAATGACAAGTTTCCGGTGCCATTAATGTAATGGACATATTGAGCCAAGACAGATGTGTGGGAAAGGGAGGCAGACAGTTCTGTGGTTCCCTCACATTCACTCTCTCTACTGAGAGTCTATATAAACACACATTTCTCAACAAATGGAAAAACTATTGATTGGTTTCTCTGACAAAGAGAGGCTTTACACATGCCTTTTCTCTCCACAGTCACTATCCAGAGGATGATAAAGTTTTCTCATATATGTTCAGAAGTACCTATACTCTATTTAATTCTCATAATGTTTTTTATAGATAGTGAATCCCTCAAGCAGAAATTTTAAACAGAATAATTCACCCAAAAATTAAAATGTTGTCAAAGTAATTAATATGACTTGAGTGCTATACTGTATAATATATTCCAAATATTTTTGTTCTAATTTTAAGTCAAAATCTTGACTATCACTGTATTCCTTCATAATCTTGACTATCACTGTAACTTCCCTTGGCGCATTCATGAATGCACAATTCATGAACAAATGTTCTTTTGAGTCGGATCTTATCAATGAATCAGTTTATCCATTGAATGACTTGTTCATGGAGTGGATTGATCTGGTTCTCCAGTTTACTCAATGATCTAGCTGTAGTTGTTAACAACCCATTTGAGTGGAAAATAATCAGTGAATAATGACTGTTCGGTCTGTTTGTCACTCACACAAAGCCATTGCATGGATTCAGAAAACTTCAAACATTTGGATGGCTTTTATGAGATTTTTGCATTTTTTTTTAGCTTTACATGAATAGTTTAAGATGTCGATAAGTTTGTTTCTTCATTTGAACAGATTTGGAGAAATGTAGCATTACATCACTTACTCACAAATGGATCCCCTACAGTGAATGGGTGCCGTCAGAATGAGCGTCCAAACGGCTGTTAAAAACATTACACAGTAATCACAAATAATCCACACAAATCTAGTCCATCAGTTAAGGTCTTATGAACCGAAAATATGTTTGTAAGAAACAAATAAATAATTAAGGCATTTTAATGTTAACTTTCATTCATAAATTCATGATAACACTTCCAGTGAAGAAGTCCATTCAGTTGTCCTCTCACATCAAAATCTACAAACATATTTGTTTTGGACTGTTTTCACTTGTAAACAGTGAGTGATCTGTATGTATTTCTCTCCTGATTCAGATGAGATTACTTTTTCACTAGAGAAAGCAATATTATGAGGACTTGTATTTAAGACGGAAGGAACCGTTTAAGTTAAAAACATCTTACTGATGGATTTGTTTATTACAAACATGCAGCTTTTTACTTCACAATACAATAATTGGACTGGAATCATGTGGATTAATTGTTGATTATTGTGATGTTTTTATCAGCTGTTTGAACTCTCGTTCTGATGGCACCCATTCACTGCAGAGGATCCATTGATAAACAAGTGATGAAATGCTAAATTTCTCTAAATCTGTTCACATGAAGAAACAAATTCATCTGCATCTTGGATGGCCATTTCTGGATCATTTTTGGGTGAGCTATTCCTTTAAAGCTCAAGTTCACTTTAAAACCGTTAGTTGTAATGACCAAGAGTCACCAGACTGTTATTAATAATTTCTCCTTTTGTGTTCACAGATGAAATAAAGTCAAGATAGGTCAACGACAAGAGGGTGAGTAGAAGATTTTTTTTTTTTATTGGGTGAATTAATCCTTTCATAGCCTTAATGACAGGAAGCAGTAGCTACTCAAAAGAGCCAGGAGTCAGGTTTCCTACTAACATGTCAAATGATAAGCTACAAGCATTTTACACTAGCAATCAGCGTTTACTTTGGCGCTGAAAAACTGCACCAATAGCGCTGTTGCAGTCTAAAGACGGACCCTCAGTAAGAGAGGATGGCGTCAAGGTCATTTGAGGGTAACGGTGTACACTGACAGTACGCGCTCCCCAAAGGAAGCCATATTTTGCACAATAATCCTATTGATACAACACAATCAAATGCTAAAAGCTTTCATTTCCAAACCAATTCATGGCGTAACGGGCACCCTCTTGCAGCATTAGTATAATAGCCTAGATAGTAAATTACACATTATGCGCTATTTCTCAAAATCATTATCTCGCGCTAAACCCATTACAAAACGACAATGCGGATTCCTCTGCAAGAACGCCCATCAGCCTAGACAAGACACTGCTATACCGGCAAGCATGCAGTCAGTGACGCGGATAATAAACGAATGATGCGAGCTGTTGTCCCTGGCAATGGGAATACGGCTGCTGCACGTGCCTGTAACACTGCAATAATACACATCCATGCGCGGAGCACAAATTAAGGTAATAAAGCATAATAATCTGTTTGAGTCGCAGGCATTTAAGAAATAGGAACGGTCCGCTTTTAACGGTATGCAATTATAGACCGAAAGTGCAACGTCGATAAGATATTTTGTGGCAATGGGGGCGAGAGGGAACACACAGTACTATTGATCCCTGCACTAATGGGGCGCCCGGATGTGTTTGTATTACATTCGAGAATTTTAAAATCTTATATAGAGATTTAAGATTGTCACTCATATGGTGATTTATGACATAATATGGCATATTACAGGCTGTTTCCTACAGCAGATGTCCAATTCTAAGTTACTAGAGGAATAAAAACGAATAAACAGACTTATCAGCTAATGCAATAAACACATACGTACGCATCGTTTTAACTACCTGATAGCTCAGCATGCTCTCCTGGTCGCTGTTTTCGGCAGGCATGGTTAACTCCGTTTTAAAGCAGTCAAAGGTGCGTCGATTGCAGCTTCCACAGAAAGACGCGGATCAGATTAGCAGTTCCTATAGAGAAACTCCAGATCACTTGATGCATACACGGTTAGAGCGGGAGGCATGAAGTACTCTTGGTCCTGTATCAAACTAACATTGAGATCTACACGCGCATTCGCCCTGTCTATACTTAAATGCTGTTGTTAGGCGCGCGCGCTCTCCAGGACATGGAAAGAGGTACTGACTGTGGCAGCATCATATGTCGTCCAGCCAATCAGAGAGCTCGAAACGAGACTGTTGCTGAAGCTGTAATTCGATTGATGCGGTTTTGCACCTATAAAGGAAAGTGCCAGAAATAGTTTAGAGGTTCTGCAAATCATGAGAGCGAAAATAATGTGAATAACATCTCAAGTGTTGTCTGCATAAGGTCATGTTGTATATTGATACGCTAAGTACTACAGTTATTAGAGAAAAATCATGATAGTGACTAAGTAAACTACTTTCAAAGCCACACATGCTGTAATTGATTAGTGAACAGCGGTTTTATTTTTGTGATAAGTGAATAAACGTCATTATCAAGCTACTCGCTGAAATTTCATTTAGTTCAGTTATTTTTGCGCTACAAATATGTCTACATATACGTAAATAATTTATATTGCTTATTTAGATTAAATAATCGAAATAATTAAATAAAGTAAGCATTAAAAAATTAAAGAAATTATTAAATAAAAATAATTTAGTAATTATTTTCTCTCTGCTAGCCATAAGAAATATATGTAAAGGCATATAACACCATGGTGTTTTAAAGGGGTCATATGATGCTGCTAAAAAGAACATTATCAGCTATCATACTCTTTTGGAAGACCAAACAAAGTAGTTTCGCTTTCACAATGAAGCACACAGCGTCTTCACGACATGGCGGCAGCGGCAGCAATACTACAGCAAGAATAAAAGTTATGCCTTCTTTCTTTGCGTGAACATTTGGGTGGCGTTATGCAAATCTTCCCACATAGTGAGGTAGATATGTGGGGGCGTGTTAGAACGAGACGTTTTAGGTAGGCGTGGCTGACTCTTAACTTTTATAAAGAATATCTCTTTGGATTTGAGACTTTAGTCTTTGCAACTTTACAGATCTTCTTTATGCACCAAGAGCTTGTAACACTCCAAAGAGAAAGGAAAAATTGAAATCGCATCATATGACCCCTTTAAATTCCCGCTTCACCTGAAGCGTAGCCTAAACTAAAATCATCCAACTCATAATCCTGTCATGACATTTCTTTAAGCTGTAGCATACATTGCCATCTAGTGGCTTTTCCTATGTACAGACAGTCTTACATAGACTAACTTCATTCCAAAAGTTCCAAAAGGACAGGTAATCACAAATAAACTTAAATCAAAACATAAATATTTTAGAGGCAGTCCACGCAATGTCTATGGAGCAGTTTAGTCTTACAGTAATCATGCATTTGATAGCCTAAATAGTGATGCACATGTTATTGTCTTCTGTTTGGCCAAGCTAAAGGTACGTAGACATGACAACTGATATGACGCTTTAACAATCAATCTGTTATGGAACATTAAATAATTAAAATGCCTTTCAAAGCGATTGATTATGACACTTTAAAATATTCACCCATTCATATTAGCTAATTGTTATTATTGTGCCGCCTGGGGAGATCGCTATTTAATGAATGAGCTGTTATACTCAACCCTCCTGACATTTCTGAAACAGTCGATATTTAGCGCTAATGTGCGTAATAATTCAAAAGCCTGTATGTCTTTAATGTAATGGAGCCAAAAGAGTATAATAAAGTGGTGCTAATAGAACATTTCATAAAAAGATAATGAATATTCAGTATCCAATATTTATTATCTGAATATTGGATATTGAATTCCTCAGAGTACAACTGTTGCGTTGCGCGTTCCGCCTGGGTTGCCGCACGGCGTCATCCATCCGTTTCCAGGAAACAGTTGTTAAGGGTGATGAAAACAGCACGCTGGTGCTGGAATGTGTGCAGTGCGCATGTGCTGAACGAGCGTTTCTCCGCAGCTCTACCGGGCTGGCCGGGCGCACCGGTGACCTTATCGATTTCACCAGACGGCTTCTGGCGGGTGTCAAATCCAGAGGTGAACGTCGCAATCCAAGTGAGTTTGCTCAGCGAATCTCAAAATCAATATGGTCGTGAACGGGCCCTTGGAACTCCATGTGTTTTTGTTATTTTTTTAAGTTTTATAATGTCAAGTGGATCTATAAACAAGTGAAATAAGTGTTAAATTAACTATTGTGATTCTTTATTCAACGTTACTCAGTACCGTTGTACTTAGTTAGGGAGGGATGTGCATAGAATTGTTTTGTGTTGAATCTGAGCATGAGCTTCTGTGTAAAGCCGTTTCCAGGCAGTCATAAATTACAGTGTTCAACTATTGATGCATTGTACGTGCGGCTTACACTCATCTTGGTTATCATTGAGACCGAGACCGCCTTTAATATGTATTTGTGAGAGAGAGAGAGTTAAAGCGTGAACAATGAGCATTAAGTTAATTTTACTTTTACATTTAGGTTAAAAAGGGAAAGATTGATCCATTTTGTGAGTGATGCCAGAGTTAAATCAAACATGCACCAACATATGCAAGGTACAGTATACAGTATACACCCTTTTACCACTTTTTCACCAGTCATTTTTTATGTCCCTATATTTTCCTTGATGTCCCCATGATGTTACCTAATATCAGGGTGTCCGCGGGTCCTTAAAAAGTCTTAAAATGTCTGACGGACCTAATGACTGTTTACAATCATTGGACAGACCGAAGATGTTTTCTTCCCGCGGTAAGTTACTGCGTCATCAGAGAGAATTGCAGTAAATTAGCAGAATACAGAATACAGGCTTGCGCTGAGGCTCACTCTGTTTGTCTCGAGACTTCAGAACAAATGAGCATGACCGCACACATAAACTCAGAAGAAACACACTGAGGTAAAAATTCAAAATGTTTCGTTTATTCATAACATGATATAGTTAAACAACACAATGACACGTGAGCTATTTTGCTCAATATTCTCACGACGCAAAAAAACCGAAACGTTCAAAACACCTAGAGTGCACGCATTACGTGAAGTCTAGTGCATGCATTTAAAACATTAATCTCATAACATTATTTATTGCAGTTGTAATTATTGTTATTTGCAGTGTAAATTATTTAATCTGACTGGTAGCAGCCTTATAGTGTATATTGAATTTATTGATAAATTGTAATAATTTGACATGTAAGATGATGCATACATCTAAAAAGGTTAAAAATAGGCCTTTGTAAAGGTAAATATGCAGATTTAAGTATGTAAAAGCTGATAGAACACTGATGAAAATATTGCATCAGAATAAATTATTTACTCCACCAAAAACCTCAGTGATGCAGTTATTTTGCAGGGATATTTTGTATGGAATATGGTCTGCTGACATGAAAAGTTCACTGTATATCATAGTAATAAATACCATTTATTACAGCATTGACGTTTTGTTTTATTTTTAATTTATACACATTAAATATTACATATATGTATGTAATAAAATGTGTATTTCCATTACAGGTTTAGGTCTTAAATTTCATATAAGGTGGTATTAAAAAGGTCTTAAAAAGTCTTACATTTAACTTGTTCAAGTCTGCAGAAACCCTGTAATATAGACACAGACAAAACCTTAGAAGCTACAGTACCATTCATAAGTTTGGTGTCATCAAGATTTTTTTTTTTTTGAAAGAAATTAATACTTTTTTTAGCAAGTGACAGTAAATACATTTATAATGTTACAAAATATTAGTATTTTAAATAAATGCTGTTCTTTTAAATTTGCGATTTATCTAAGAATCCTTAATGCATAACGATTTTCACAAAATGATTAAGCAGCACAACTGTTTCAACATTGATAATAATAAGAAATGTCTCTTGAGCACCAAATCAGCATATTATAATGATTTTTGAAGCTTTACTATCACATGAATAAATGAAACTTTTAAATATATTAAGATAAAAAAAAACGTATTTTAAATTCTGATACTATTTCACAATATTACAGTTTTTACTGTATTTTTGATCAAATAAATGTTGCCTTGGTAAGCATAAGAGATGTCTTTCAAAGACAGTAAAAAACTTTTGAAAGATATATACTTTTTTTTTATACTAAAATAAAAAAAAACCTGTTGACATTATTAGATTGAATTTAAAACGTGATTTGGCCAGTTGAGTCTTTCAGATAATGTTTTTATAAGTTTATTTTCATGATATTTGTGAAGGCATTTTGAAAACTCTGGCCCACTCAGCTATTGTCAAATGTACACACACAAGATAAACCCTGCTATTTATTTATTTATTTTTTGTAAAGCATTTCTATGTGCTGTATGTCACAGTGCCACCCTTGGAAGGAAGAGCTCGCTGTAATTATGTAAATCTGCCTCTGATTAATGGGGACAGACTGAAGACAGCTAAGACTCTAGTGGACAAGGCAATAAAGGTTAGGCTTCTAAAATCCTAAGGAATCATAGTAGAAGTAGTGCATGGAAGAACGCCAAATGATCTTGAATTTTAAACAATGATGACATTGAGATCTCAATGAACATGCACTGTCTATTTTGTTGCTTCTGATGTAGGAGAAGAAAGTGTTCTCTGTGCAAGGTCCATATCCTGTAATCCGTGCAGGCCTACGTGCAAGAGGATGGGTGGAGCGGCGGCTACCACGGCTCTCTGTCCCACGGCCTCGTCGACATGATCTTGAAACAGAAGCCACAGATGAGGGTGACAGCAGTGATGATGATGGTGAGAGTATCTGACAGAACTAAGATTAGACCCGTTCCATCACTCTGCATAGACACTTGATAAGGCTGGTCGGTTTCTGTGTGTGCAGGTTAGCTATACACAGGGGACAAAATTGTACCCAGAAGTTAGTTACTGACACAACATTCTGTTGGGCATGTCAGGGGATGTTTTAAAATGTAAAAAAAATAAAAATAGCTATAGCTATATTCAACCTTGTCTAGCACCCTTTTGCCAACCAGCAAGTGAAGCGACATGTGGCCAAGTATGGTGACCCATACTCGGAATTAGTGCTCTGCATTTATCCCATCCAAAGTGCACACACACCGTGAACACACACCCAGAGCAGTCGGCAGCCATTTTTTGCTGTGGGAGGGAGCAGTTGGGGGTTCGGTGCCTCGCTCAAGGGCACCTCAGTCGTAGT